ACTAAGACCTGCCCATGCCAAGCCCTAGCCCACTTTTGAAAACACTTAGAAACCCTCACGTTTCTCTCTTATTTTCCGACTTTGCAAAGATTACAAGTCGATCTTTGCTCACTAAGACCTGCCCATGCCAAGCCCTAGCCCCCGTTTTGAAACACTTAGAAAGAATCACCTTCCTAACCTGTTTCCGTTTCTTTGCTATGAACACAAGTCATTCATAGCCCACTTAGTCAAGATCACAAGCCTATCTTGACACACTAAGACCTGCCCATGCCCAGCCTTAGTACCACTTCGTCTTCGTCTTCGTCTCGGAGACCCTCTTCTTCATTTGAAGACCCTCTCCTTCTGCTCAAGACTCTTACAGTCTTGATTTTCGTCTTTGATCTAAGACTCTCACAGTCTTGATCCTTGATACAAGACTCTCTCAGTCTTGATGCCTTTTCTTCATGAAATGCCCCCATATATATAGATATAGGGGCTTCCGCTGGCAGATATGAAGGGACAACATACAAAAGGGTAATTCCGTCATTGTGCTTTGCCCAGTCAAAGCACATAACCATTTAATGGGGCACTTACCTATGAAATGGCCCTCTTCAGCACTTATTTTTGTTTGTGGAGCACTCAGCCTTCATGGTGGAACACTCAGCTCTTCTGGTGGAGCACTTAGCCCACTGGTGGAGCACTGGTCCCACCTCCCACTGAACCAAGCCTTTACACACAGCATTACTAAATCTGATCCTATCTTGTAGTTGACATCCCCCAACTACATAGGCCATTATCTTACACGAAATGACATTAGCTACAAGCACTAAACAGACATGGATACAAGTCATTACAAAAATACAACGGCCCACTGCTTTGGCATGTGCACTACATGTGCCCTTTTTCTTGGTCAGCTATTGCACGCCCCAAGTCTGGCATTGCGCCCAGCCTTGGCTGATTCTGACATTGCTCTGCGCCAATGTCTCGTCCGCAACCTGCTGTCCATGATTTTATCGCACACGTCCGACGCCTGTCGGCCGCACATTGCCTTAGCCGCATTTCTGCCTTGTCTTTGTCAACACTTGTTTCATCTGTGCCATTGCTTGTATTTTGTCTCACATAGCTTTGCCTTAGCTATTGAAACCCTTTGCCATCATTCCGTGCCTCCATGATTTAGCTTTGCTTGTACTTGGCGCTCCCACAACTTGAACTCCCCGTACCTTTGTCTTTGGCGCGCATGCCGCTTCATGCCGCCCAAACTTGCCCGCACTGCCTCATCAAGCCTTTGCCAAGTCCATCTTGTCTGTCTTAAGACCTTGGCCAATAGTTGTTCTCATGACAATGTTTCTCGTCCATTGTCCCGCATGATCGTTTTGCTCCCGCATAGGCCAACAGCAAGGCCATCACGCCCCAATCCTTGCCATAGCCGCGCCACATCCGATTGACAAAGAATCAGGTCCTAACAGCAAGCCAAGCCCGACAATACCAACAAAGTTGAAGGTGCTAAGCAAAACCCAATTTGTTTTAATGATTAACATCATCAATTGGAATATAAGGGGATGAGATCACAAGGTGCAAGTGAAAGACTAGTTAGAATACACAAAGTTGACTTAGTGGGATTATAGGAACCTTTCCTGGATGCCACAAAGTTGGAATTGTTTTTTGTTTTGAAAATGCAGCAAGAACAACAAAATCATGTGCCTATGGAGCAGTAAACTGATCTACAAAGTCATTAACAATAGTAAGTGATCACACCCAACTCTAGTCCTAAAAAGGATAAGCGGTCGCTGCAAATATAATCCGGTCTAAAAGTCCGAAGTCGAATCCCACAGAGAACTAAGCTTTAGCTACAACTGTTGACTATCACTAAGAAGACAAGTTCGGACAATTTCTAAGTTATAAATATTAAGATTCTTACATCTAATTAACTAATAAATTAAACTAGTATATTAACAACTAAAGATAATAAGGGTTGCAAAATAGATTAAGGAGGTCTAGAGTTATGATTTCCCCAATTGTCGGAATCCTTCCCGCTACATCTTCTATAATTTCTCCTAAGTATTCTCTACCGATCGTGAGTACTTCGGATGTCGTAATTCTCTTTTGAGCAACTACCACAATTTACTAGACATATTCTCTCAAACTACGCTAGTTGTCACTAACTCACCGCTCACTACGACCGCACTAATGTTTCATTATCTCTAATCTCGCCTTTAAACTTTTCGTATTGATCTCTCACATACGTTATGAGTGATGTTGTTCAACGACTACCTAAATGTGTACTCTCTCTCTCGAGAAATATACACATTAAATAGGCACAGTCAATTGATGGCCATTCAATCAACATCAATAAACACGTAGTTGAACAAGAAGAGAAATCCAACGACTCAATTATATAAAAACGTAATAAGAATCCATCCCACAAAAGGTTCCATCAAAACCCTAGATAACAAATTAGCTATTCATAATAGTATGCTAAAGTACAATACTAGAATTGATCATAACCAATAATGGAAATAGGAAGAAGGAAGTGAAAAACTCGTAGAAGAATTTTTAGCCTTGCTCCTAGCGTGTTCTTACCTCCTTAAGTCGAATCCTCTCTCCAAACGCATCTTCTTTAGGTCGAATTTGCACTAAAAACGTCCTCCTATTCTCTTAGACATGTTTAAGGAGTATTTATAGGCTAGAGTTGAAGTCCTTGAGTCCAAATTCGGGTTGGAGACTTTTAACCCGCGATCGTGGTCAACCTGGCTATAGACCTCGCGAAGCCTGGTCTGTAGCGCGGTCAAGCTGGATATAGACCTCGCGAAGCCTGGTCTGTAGCGCGGTTTGGGTACTTGGCATTTTTTTGCTATTTTCTTGCATTTTCGTCATATTTTTTTGCAACCTTCACTCGTCGTTGTCTTCCGATGCTCCTACACATAAAACAACATAATTTAGTTCAAATGTCGCACAATTAACTACTAAACTAACAACATGTAAGGCGAGTAATGTACTAAAAGAATAGCATTTTGGCCTAACATCAGTAAGAAACAACTCACTCTAAAGGCCAACTATGATAATAAACTTCTATGGATCATAGGGGTGCATACTAAATCCATTGTAGTTAAAAGACGTAAGCTATGGAGCACACTAAATGCTTTCCAGTCTGGAATTAATGGTCTATGGGAGACTTCAAATCCATTATGATAAATGATGAGAAAAAAGGAGGTACACCATAAAACTTGAGCAAAAACTCTGATTTTATCGTTTGTATGGAAAACTGTGGGATGTCCGAACTTGGATTCACTGGAAATCCATTCACCTAGTGCAATGGGTGTGGAAAAGGGAGAATAATCAGTAAGAGGCTAGATAGGATAATGGTTAATGAGGAATGCACAAACCACTTTCAGATCAACAAAGTTGATCATAAAGCTAAGACATGTTCTGAGATTCCTAAACATTTGGATCACATAGAGTACGTATATTAAATGGCTCAAAATGGAGGTATCTATTCTTAAAGAGAAGCAAGGATGAAGTGGGCAAAAGAAGGTGTTCCAACTCCAAATATTTTTACAGTGTGATAAAGAAAAGGAAAAAAGAAGGAAGGCTCACATACACACACAAGAATAAAAATAAGCATGGAACATGGATAGAGGGCAAGGAAGCCATCTCAAATGCAGTTGTGGATCATTTCAATAACCTTTTTACACTTACTCCTTACGATAATGACATGTCTATTCTTAGATCAGTAGAACCTCTTGTCACTGAGGATAATAATAGGCTCATTTATGACATCTGAGAGGTAAAAGAAATTAGAAGTGTTATTTTCTCTATTGACCCAAATAGTGCTACATGCCATGATGTCTTCAATGGCCACTTCTTTCAAGCTTCCTCGGGCACTATCAAAAAGGAAGATTGCAAATTTCTTCTGAATGTTTTCCTACGCACTAGTCTCACCTGATACTACACTCATACTAACCTTGTGCTTATTTGCAAGATACCTTCCCCCGCTACTGTGGCGTAACTACGACAAATTAGCCTTTGCAATGTCTCCAACAAGATCATCTCTACCAGGCTTTCCCAACCGCTCCCTAAACTCATTTCAAACAACCAAACTAGGTTTGTCAAAGGCAGACTCGTCACTAAAAACATCCTCCTAGCACAGGAAATTGTTCATAGGATTGGGAAAGAAATAAGGGAGGCAACATTGTTATTAAGCTTGATTGTCTAAAGCTTCCCTTGGAGCTTCTTTATAGCTATCCTCAGGAAAATGAACTTCTCAGTATTCTCCTAGCTAATAACTGGTACTCCATACTTATTAATGGAATCAAACATGGATTCTTCAAATCCTCCAGAGATCTGAAACAGTGTGATCCTCTATCCCTTTCCTTATTACTCTTGGCTGCAGAAGCACTTATAAGAGCACTTAACAAGCTAAATGAAAATAATCAGTTCATTGGTTTCTCTATGAGCCCGAGAAGACCCAGAATAAATTGTTAGGATTTTATCCGAAATTGCTAATCTATTAGGACCCTCTTTCTTAAAGAAAGAGAAAAAGACTTCTAAAAGGAATAAATTTCCTTCTTATGCCTTATACTTTTCTTGAAGGAGAAGTTTTACACTTCTATAAATTGAAGATATCTCCTTCCCACAAACAACAACAAAACAACCTCCACAATATAGTCTTTTCGAGAATCGTATTTAGGGGAGATTAGTCTCTCAAAATTTTATTTTCTTTTTTTATATTAGTGATATATCATATATAAGTCGCCTGACCAAACCATAATAAACTATTATGCCTAGTTTAGTATATTTGTTTATACTCTGATTATCGTCCATCAAGCTTTGCATTGTTAGCTTCTCCATGCATCGTGTTATTTATATCACAACAAGTGGTATCAGAGCCAACGGTTGAACGAGGTTGAAGACGGGTTTCAAGGCGAGTTGCAAGTCAAGATGCAATTAATTTGATAATAATGAAGATTTACCCAAAAATAAGTTTGAACGTGTTGCTACATGTGGAGATAAATTTACAACCACGAGTATTCAAAACCCTTGTTGCCGCATCTTTAAAGAAATAAAACTCTTTTTAACCCATATTTTGGCCACTTTTGACCAATGCCAGTTTTAACACATGTCTATTGTAACACAAGAGCCGTAACGTCAGTTTTAACTTATGCTTCTTTTAATCATGTCAGTTTTAACCCAAGTTTATTCTTAATGCATGGGCTCCTTTTAACCCATTTTTGGGCTCCTTTCAACCAATCCCAAGATTTTTCAACCTATACCTATTTTTAAGCATAACAAGCAGCAATGATGAAGATTATTTGAAGAAAGCGAATAAAGTTTTGTCAAGAAAATTCAGGCCAATGGGAGAATTATTAGGATTTTGTCCTGAATTTTTAATCTATAAGGGCTCTCTTTCTTGAATGAAGGGAAAAAGACTCCTAAATGGAACAAATTTTCTTATTATGCCTTATCCTTTTCTTGGAGGAGAAGTTTTACACTTCTATAAATTAAAGATATCTCCTTCCCACAAACAACAACAAAACAACCTCCACAATGTAGTCTTTACGAGAATCATGTTTATGGACGATTATTCTCTAAAAAATTTATTTTCTCGTTTTATATTAGTGATAGATCATATGTAGATCAACAACAACAACAACTCAGTATAATCCCACTAGTAGGGTCTGGGGAGGGTAGTGTGTACGCAGACCTTACCCCTTCCCTGGGGTAGAGAGGCTGTTTCCAATAGGCCTTCGACATCCCTCCCTCCAAGAACTCCCACCTTGCTCTTGGGGTGACTCGAACTCAGAACCTCTTGGTTGGAAGTGGAGGGCGCTTACCATCATAGCAACCCACCTTGTCATAGATCATATGTAGATCGATTGACAAAATCATAATAAACTAATATGTCTAATTTAGTATATTTTTCTTTTATACTATGGTTTATCGTCCATCAAGTTTTACATTGTTAGCTTCCGCATGAACCATGATATTTCAATCCCAACATAAAATACCTGAGCTACGCTCATGATTTGGTTCTATTCACTTTTGGGGATAAAACAAATCTATTAATTTAATCATGAACATTCTCAACAAGTACTAACTAGCCTCAGGGTAGTAAGACAACTATTAGAAAATTTTCTTCCTCGGTCAAAATTTTGAAGATAGAGTTATCAACATGAGGATCAATAGATGGACTAGATTCAAGTATTCTGAATTCCCCTTTACCTACCTAGGGTGTCGAAGTTTTCTACTTTTCTAATCTAACGTCCAAAGGCTTTAGCAAGGCTGGTGGATGGCAGGTAAGGATGCTATCCTTCGGGGGAGGGCCTCTATTATCAAACATCTCCTTCAATCACAACCCTTCGACCTCCTTGCTGCAATAAACCCACTCCCACCCCAAAACTATTAGTAATCAGATTGAGATGTACCTCTCCAATTTCCTCTGGGGGGAATGAGTGAAAGAATAGTTAACATTGGAGCTTATGAGATAACTTAAGTTATACTTGTACTGAAAGTGGAGTAGGTTTTAAGAAACAGCAGGACATTTGTAAAGCCTTTGCTATTAGAAAGTGGAAGAGGTTCAGGGTAGAAGGTAATTGATGGACCAAGTGTTTGCATGCCAATTATTGCCCTAGATCAAATCTGTAATGACCCAATCAGTCATTTTGAGCATTTACATCCCGTTTAGCTGATCGAATTCTTGAGTAGCTTCATATAATGTATTATAACTTGTGTGAATTATCGGTTTTAGTTTTCAGGTGATTCGGGACTGATTCTCAACTAGAAAGCTTAAAAGTTAGAAGAATTGACTATGTTTAACTTTTGTGTATTTGACACTAGATCGTAGTATTGATGGTTCCATTAGGTCTGGATGGCGATGTTGGACTTGGATGTATGCTCGATTTTCATTTGGAGGTTTCTTGAAGCTTTTGGCATTAATTAGCGAAAGTTGGCAATTTCAAGGTTTGGAAAGTTCACAGGTTAGATTGGGAGTTGAATTTGATTATTACCAGGATCGTATTGTGGTTCCATAATTGGAATAACTTTGTTATGTCATTTGAAACTTGTATGAAAAATTTGAGATCATTCCAGATTGATTTGATATGGTTCGGCTTGATTTTTGGAAGTTGAAAGTTTAAAAGTACATAAAGTTTGATTTGATGTGTAATTTCAGGCCTCGAGTAGGTCCATTCTATGTTTTGGAACTTGTTGGAATATTCAGACGGGGTCTCGAGTCACTCGAGTATGTTTCGGGGTGATTTTGGATCATTTCGCTTATATTGGCAATGCTAGTTTTTACTGATGTCTGCAGTGAATCGCGTTTGTATGGGAGTCATCGTGATAATGAATAAGGATTTGGACTGAGCTATTTTATCTCTTCGCATTCGCGAGAAATACATCGCGTTCACAGAGGCTGTGGAACTTCGCATTCACGTTTGTGAGGTCGCGTTCGCGGTGGTGAGCTGGGAGCTGCAACACTTTTCTTCACGTCTGCGAGACATGGGTCGCGTTCGCGTTGGGTGGAATATGTGGGTATCGCATTCGCATGGAACACATCACGAATGCGTAAGGCATTTTTGGTGGCAGTTCATTTTGTTCATCGCGAACACGAGGAGCATTCCACATCCGCAAAAGGATCACCTAGGCAATGCATATAAGAACTCTATTTTCTGACTTTGAGTTATTTTAATATATTTTGAGATATGGAGCTCGTATTTGGGAGATTTCGGAGGCGATTGTCTCCATATGGATTAGGTTTCGAGCCGTTCAGAGGTTGATATGTGGGGGATGGCATTTCTAGAGTATTATTTGGCTTGCTTAGTATTTGATTTGGCTTATTCGAGGTAAGTAAGATATCTAAACTTGGATTTGAGGTTATTTAACCCTGGGAACTATGTTATAAGAGATATATTGGGGTGAC